TTTTCGAGACAGGGTTTCTCTGTGGCTTTAGAGCCTGTCCTGGAACTAGCTCTGTAGACCAGGCTGGTCTCGAACTCACAGAGATCCACCTGCCTCTGCCTCCTGAGTGCTGGGATTAAAGGCGTGTGCCACCATCGCCCGGCTTCTCTCTTTGAATTTCCAGCCTGGCTTTGCTCTGCTAAGCCACTGACGGAAACAGCTTTATTCATTAACCACTTAGGTAATAAAACATATTCACAGCATACAGAGGAGAATCCTACATCATTCTCTGCCTCCCAAGTGCTGGGATTAAAGGTGTGTGTCACCACTGCCCAGCAGAGAAGAATTTTATGAATAAGGTTCATGGTGCTGAGTCCCAACCCTGGAACCCACAGGGTAGAAAGAAAGGACCCAACCCCCATAGGTCGCCTTCTGACTTACACAAGTGTACCCCAACATAAATAAATAAATGTAATTTAAATAAAAAGTTACTGGTGATTTTAAAAAAAGCAGCTGGATTGGTTTGAAAAGGGTGGGTCAGGGAAAATTGAAGGCAACCCAAAGAATGTGATTGGCGGACTAACCTTCGAAGGGTAAGGTAATGGTTCAGAATTCGTCGTTTTGTGGGGCTCATGGGAGCAGATGACTCTTTGGCATGCGATCCTGCATTAGGTTCGGGTTCCCTATTGGTCTTTGCACTCTGGAGTCCAACCTCTGGGGCTGGCAAAGGAGAACTGGAGACAGAGGGAGCAGGGGCTTCCGGTCTGTGTAGAGAAGAACCCAAGTCTTGCAATGCATTGGAAGGAAAGCAGCAGTTGCCGTGCCTCCCAAGCCCTCAGAGCAGTGCTTCCTGAGCTGAGCTCCTGAACTGAGACAGGGAACAGAGTCTTACTATGCACCCAGGGCTGCCGGCTGACGAGGAACTCACTCTGTAGACCAGAATGGCCTTGAACTCACAGAGACCTGCCTGCTGGGATTAAAGGCGTGCGCCACCGCCGCCCAGTTCAAAGTCACTAGTCTCCACTTTCTAAAATTCATCTTAAAAGTCATAAACTATCATTTGTCTGTCTTTCTTTTTTAAATATTTACTTATTATATAGACAATATTCTGTCAGAGTGTATGTCTGCACACCAGAAGAGGGCACCAGACCTCTTTACAGATGGTTGTGAGCCACCATGTGGTTGCTGGGAATTGAACTCAGGACCTTTGGAAGAGCAGGCAATGCTCTTAACCTCTGAGCCATCTCTCTAGCTCCCTCATTGTTCTTTAAACATCTCCACAATACAGTAAATATTACTATTGCTCAGAATACACTTTGGAGAGTAATAACTTTAGAGGCATCTACTTCCTTCTACCCTTTCCCACTCGGGTGTCCAAGTCCACAGACCTGTGTTTCCTCCGGCAGCAGCTGTTATAGTGGGGAGCTCTGTGCAGAGCACTCTGCGTGATCAATCGGGTCTGGGTTAGCAAAGGCGCCTGTTTAGGGCAGAAAGAGACAGATCAGAGCTGCGAGAGCAAAGGTCCCTTCAGGTTTGGAGCACGCAATACAGCCGGAACACCTGACCCACTCTCGCACCTCAGCTTTGGTTTCTGTCTTCAGGTCTTTCTGCTGCCTTGGATTTTGCTCTGTTTCCTTGCCTGCCTGCTTTTTGCCATAGAAGAGCTTCAGACCTGAAAAGCAAAGGGGATGCAAAGCACAACAGCAGGGGGTTTGCTAAACGAAACGTCCCGAGTTTATTCTCCATCATTCTTCCCTCCCCTCCTTCCCCTATACTTACTGGACAGATGCTTCTTGCCTGCACGGTGGGCAGTCAGCATGGCCAGGGTATCCAGTACTGGGCGATGGGGGCAGATGGCACACGCAAAGCTACGGAAAGGAGAAGTGAAGTGAATGATAAACCCGTGCGAGTTCCAGAGCTCGGGTGGGGCTGTTCCTGCTGGAGCAGGGGCTCCGTCTGTCAAAGCACTCCACTAACGCCCAGGTCTCCCGCTCTCCGCCTCTTCCAATCGCCACTTCCTACCAAAAAATCCTACCATACTCCTGAACTACTCAGTAACAAAAGTCTGTTGAGCCTCTGATCGCAATCCCCAGGCTTGATCCACCCTTCACGCTCACCGTCCATCCCGCAGCATCAGCGCCTCATCCTCTGGGATGTAGCTGGCCAGCAAGTCTCCAACCCGTCGTTTCTGCAGAGAGCAGGACAGGAGAAATGAGTAAGTGGGATGGATGAAAGGGATAAGGAGTCAAATGGAACGGGGCCATGCAGACCATAGGGTAAGAAGGAGGCATCACTCAGTTCTGGTCCCCTAACAGTGCAGCTGAATCTGAGCAGTCTCTCAGTCTCTCTCTCTCTCCCCCTCCCTCTCTCTTTGGTTTTTCGCGACAGGGTTTCTCTGTATAGCCTTCTTGGCTGTCGTAGAACTAGTTGTGTAGACCAGGCTGGCCTCGAACCTCAAACTCTGCTTTTGCCTCCCAAGTGCTGGGATTAAAGGCGTGAGCCACCATTTGACCGTGGTCTGAATCACACTAGGGCTTCTTACTTTTAGCACATTGAGCTGACTCCAGTCGTCCCCTTCCCTCTTGAAAGACATCGCAACTGTGAGTCCCAGAAATAATAAATTCTCCTACTTCGCTTCTCCTTCAGGCCACCGTAGGAAGAGCAGGTTATCGCTTTCTCTGCTTCCTGTCTTTTTCAAGTTGAGCCTGTACTTCCGAGGATGCATTTCCACGCACGCAACGCGCGAGCCGGAAGACCCGCCTCCAGCGCCCTGAGGGGGCCTGCATTTCCTCTGACGCCCTGAGGACGCTTTGCCTCTTGGGAAATGAAGTCTTTTAGTTATTATTTTTTCCTATTTTTCGAAGAGCTTACCGTTCACCTGAATACAGGCCCGCGCATCTCGAAGGATCCAGGTATTTGGAGACCAGGAGCCTGAATGCGGAGCCGGCGTTTCGGGGTGGGACACCCCGATGTGGAGTGAGGCTTCGGGAGTCTCAGTGGACTGTGTACTGCGAACTCTCGCAATCCTCAGGCTCAGCGCCCGCAGCCACAACCCACCTGGGTGGGCCTGATTTGGAGCCGAGAGGATGGGGGCGCTCCCGGCGGCCTGGCTGCGGGAGGTGGGGGCACACTGAGGGAAGCGTGTTGGTGAGGGAGNGAAGCCTGGAGATACCCTGGCTGGACTAGCTCTCAAATATGGGGTGACGGTGAGTCTTCCAAGGATTGGGGATGTGATGCTCATTTAGGAGAGAGTTGTGGCCCGCTAAGCAGGCTTCCCTGACGTTATATTAATTATATTGTGTCTGCTTTGCCCTTCTTACTTGTTTTCACATCTCAGTGCAGTACTATCTAGTTGGGACACATCCGCCCCACTCTCCCAGTGGGAGGAGCAGCTCCTGTGGATTGGGATGGCCGCGGGGGTGGTGGGGTTGGGGGTGGACCTATCAACCTGAGACTTAAGACTGATAACCAGTTAGCCTGCAGGTATGTCTGTTGTATGAGGGTTTCAGGTCCCCTGGAACCGGAGTTAGACGGCTGTGAGCTGTCATGTGGGTTCTGGGAATTGAAGCCGGGTCCTTGGAAGAGCAGCTAGCGCTCTCAACCACTGAGCCGTCTCTGCAGCCCTGGTAACCAGTTTGATGAAGGTCGGATACCTTGAGTGTCAGAGGGAGGTTTCAGTGTCTGGTTTAAGTCACTACCATTAGTCACGCAGAAACACTGGGAGTGGCTAAACCTTTACAGCAAGTCAGGAAGAGTTAGTAGAATTCCCAAAGTGCCTGCTCTAGTTCTTTCCGCGCCAGGGCTGTGCTTCCTTTCCAATGAGGCACAAAACAAGTACCCTCTACATACATTGAGTATTTCTGGTCACACCTAGGAGGAGTTTGATGGGCGTAAAAGTTAAAGCTGTAGCCGTCCCCTCTGTGTCCTGTTTTACTGGTAACAACAAACAGATGTTGAATCTAGACAAATTCCCATGCCTGCTGTACTTAAAGCATTAGAGTAACCCTTCCTGGAGATCAAACATACATGTATACTGATGTGTTCATGTTTAAATCTGTGAGAAATGGAGAAGCAATGGTTATGTAAGGAATAGTCACAAGGAGTGGGAAACCAGGAACTATTTGGAAGTGGGAGTGGATATCAGTTGATGTGGAATTTTGTTTGGCAGGGAGGGTGGATTTTCTAGTCGGTATGTCACTGTGTAGCCTAAGCTGGCCTGGAACTCACAGTGCTCCTGTGTCGTGAGGGCTGAGATGGGTGTGAGCGATGGACGCTGTGGTAGGTTTTCCTCACTATGGGCCTTGAAGATTTAGAAACCTTGCCCTCTGTGTCCCCTTCTACAGGTCTGTCTGACCCAGATGTTTATGTCTTTGACTTCCAGCAGTGCACAAACTCTTTAGGAGCAGAAATAGTTTCCTTTCAACCTTCCGTCTCTAAATTCTGGCCTAGTCTCAATTACATGGAAGTTTAACAGCTATCTGGAAGCTGCCAGGCATGGTGGCGCACACCTTTAATCCCAGCACTCGGGAGGCAGAGGCAGGCATATCTCTGTGGGTTTGAGTCTAGCTTGGTCTATAGAGTGAGTTTTGGGACAGCCAAGCTACCCTGAGAAACCCTGTCTGGAAGGAAGAAGAAAGGATGCCTGAAAGCCAGGCTTGGTGACACAGCCTGACAGCTGGCTCAAAGTTCCAGGCCAGGGCCATACATAGCAAGACCAAGGGAACTGGTGATTTGAAAGTTGTAGCTCAGCCGGGTGGTGGTGGCGCACGCCTTTAATCCCAGCACTCAGGAGGCAGAGGCAGGCGGATCTCTGTGAGTTCGAGACCAGCCTGGTCTACAGAGCTAGTTCCAGGACAGGCTCCAAAACCACAGAGAAACCCTGTCTTGAAAAACCAAAAAAAAAAAAAAAAAAAAAAAAAGAAAGAAAGAAAGTGTAGCTCAGTGGAAGAATGCAGACAAGAGACAAGGCTAGACCTGTCCTGTGGGGGCTAGCTAGAGAAAGGCCTTGAGTCCCCACTTAGATTTTGTTGTTTAGCCCAAGAGGAGCCACAGAAGTTGCTGAGCCAGCTAGAGGGTTAATCAGATTCACTTTTCTAGATGGCAAGGGGAAGATATGTGGACAGGAAAGAGGAAGAGCAATTAAACGAACAGTTAGCCCGGATGAGAGAGAGTGGTGTGGTGTTGGCGGGTAGGACTGTGAGAACATGTGTGAGAGTTTTGTGTATTTATAATTGTTGGAGGTCTGCTAGGGGTCCAGCCCAGGGCTCTGCACACGCCAGGCAAACACTGCACTGCAGAGGCACAAATACAGCCCCATCCAGGTTTATTTATTTTATTGTTAACCACGTCCCATTATGTAGCTTGATTGGCTTCACACTCAGAAATCCCCCTGCCCCTGCTTTCCAAGTGCTGAGATTAAAGATGCGTACTGTCACCAGGCAGTGGTGGCACACACCTTTGAGCCCAGCATTCAGAAGGCAGAGGCAGGGGGATCTCTGAGTTTGAGGCCAGCCTGGTCTATACAGCAAGTTCTAGAACAGCCAGGGCTACACAGAGAAACCCTGTCTCAAAAAAAAA